AACATAGTTTTAAAATATCAAACTTACACGATGCTTTAAGCATTGATGACCCAAGCATGAAGCAATGGCAAAGAAACTTGACATTCAGCTTTCTATTTCCTTGCATGGTTAGAAAACAAAATGATGTTTAGTGTATATCAATGCACAAGAGCTGTTAGAGAATATATTTGATCGCCTGTTATATTGCAAGGTATTACAGAGTTAAATTATGCAAAACATTTCTTTTGATAAAATTCTTTGAACTTTTATTCAATTTAAGTTAACCTGCGTTAAACATATATGGAACAAATAATAACAAGCGTGTTGTTTCCATATAAAAACTTATTCCTGACATCATCTCCGTGATAGGCCTTTTTGGTCGACTTCGACATTGTCCAGTTTACTCTTTACAGCACGATGACTTTTTAATTGTATGCTTCAGAATGTAACCATTACTTAAAATAAGTGAATTTTAATAGTTTCAAGCAAACTTTTTAAAATCGACTTTTATTAAAATTTCGACATCATAGGCGGGAAACTAGACAAAAATATCTGTATCCTAGGTGAAAATAGCATGGACTAGGGCACCTGAATATTTCCGGAAAAACTATAAATGAGGAAAAGGCGAAGCCGAAAACATGTTAAAACTTCTATTTATATAAAAGAGTAATAATAAATACAATAAGAAAAATATACCATGAAAACATTATTATAAATAAGATAATAATAAAAAATAAATAAATAATATATATATATATAAAATAATATATAATATCGTCCTCTGCTGAATGAATCATATACAAGGGCATTTATATATGTGTCAAGATGTCGATCTTTGACAAATAAACTGGTAACACAAAGGTTGTTTAGTGATTATCATGTGGAACTTTTGATGTTTACTCATTGGCAAGTGATTTATGTTCTTATGCGATATGTCTTTGAAGCTCATCAGTTTGCCTGGTGGTTCTATTGTAGTATATTTTGTTCTCATTTGAGAACGTCACATTACATACTTTTGGTTGACCAAAATTTACATGGCAGGTGTCGGCGATGAAACAGAAGACGCTTCCAATTCCAGAACACTTGGTCGTATTAACCTGTACTTTTCTTTAGATGCTACCATGTAAATCGTTTAAATTTCGATAATATTCGAACGAATTTGAACTTGAATTAAGATTCCGTTGACATGTCGAGCGATAAAAACGGAAAAAAACTAGAATGTCTAACGAGAATGTGGAAAAAGAGGAAAAATAGCAGATTTGGATGATAAACAAATGAAAAAGAAAATTAGTCTCCCACAACAGTGGTTATTATCGAAATATGCTAATTATCTGTAATCTTAAGGAGAAGTATCCATAATATTATCTAACATTCTCTACCGCACTGTCTACTTGACAATATAAATCGAACAGGGTTCATTAGTATTTCCGGAAATGACAGGAAAAGCGAAAAAAGTTCAATATAGGAATGACCTTGGGCTTTTAGTCCATATCAGATCGAGGTATCGGACATTGCCCTGACACGTCTGTAAAGTGTCGGTTCGTCTGCAGTAGCAACAAATGTGCCTCTCCAATATCGACATGGATTGTCGAAGATTTGATGTCCTCCTGGGACATCTCCAATGTGCTTGTGTCAGGTACCGTGATTTATGGCAGTTCAATTGACGACAACAACCAAGTGTGCCCACAATGCCAATGTATGGTAAGGACCTTACGGCACTCGAGATCGATTTCCAATTATAAGAGGTCCGTATGTGGACCTACATCTACCATAGTCGTGTTTTACATGTGTACCTAAATGTAAAACAAGAACAATTTGCACTACCATTAACTACGATGCTTCTCTTCCTCAGTGACTTGAAAAAGCATCAAATTAGTAAAGCTGGTACAAACTTAAGAACATACTCTAACTCTACTCTCTGTTTTCTTTTGGTCTACAAAAATCAATCTGTGTTGCCCTCTGTTTTGATTACATGTTTGTTGTTTATATCGTCAATATTTACACATTCATACATCATGTCCGGATAATCATACTGTATCAGAAGATCGTACTGTAATGCCTTGTTTAATCGGTTTATTGATGCCCCCATTATAGCTAGATAAAGTAGGACGTTTGTAACGGAGTTTCTACACAAATACACAACTAATATCAATGCCAGCTATCAATAACGTATGAGATGGCCACTCTTTAATCAAGACCCTGTTCTTCATGACATATTGTGATAATAGTAACAGGAGACATCTAAGATATGTTATGTTGTCTATTTTTGATAAGACTAAAGATTTCATAACAAACGGTGTCCCTCTCTTGACTGACTTAGTTAGTATGTTCCTTGTACTTTTTCAGGAGTCTTGTAAAAGAAAGATTTCTTTTCATCATATTTTCCCCTCGTTTCATCGAATTTATGTTTAAATTATGATTTCGTTAACATATCAGTATATTTGTTCTTGATTTTAAACGACATTTGGTGCATCTTATATAATCTAAATATATTTATGTATTTACTTATTTCACGTAGCATAAGAAACTTGTTATATCCCTCATAATTTTTCAAAACTAACTTGGAACAATCTGTAATGACTGATTGAAATATATTTTGTGAAAGATTTTTACGTTGAGCTGTTTTTAAATGTGATTGCCTGTCAACATGAACACGATGGTTGAAAAACCAGAGTAAAGAGCGCTGATATAGTTTCTAGTCCTGAAGGCTCAATCTACCAAGGCTGAAGAGAGAGTGACTGTCTTTTATTTGTGTCTTTCCCGTCTTCTCCTAGCATATGCTGTGTGAAGGAGCGACATTGTGGCAGAGAGAAAATTTAAAAGATGGCACTCAGTCGTGACGATCACCAAACAGTTACCAAACCAGAAAAGAATAGCACTGCACAAACTAGTGATGGGAAATTGTTGTATTACTTTTCATGGGTTAGTAGAGGAAAACGACTTTCAATATGGATCCATACATGGCATCTTAATGACAATCTACAAAATGTCCACGGTATGTACATGATGGGTCCTTGTGAATGTTTTTGAATGACAAGAAGAAATCGAAGGTCTCCATCAGTGGAACATTTGTTTTTGTTATTTTCGTTGGCTTTGTCGTTGTGATCTGAAGAGTAAGAGGAATTGATTACATGGAAACGAACCCAATTTCCAAAGGCAGAGACGTTCAAAGCCACCAGGTCCAAAATAGTGCAGTGGTAACCATTTTTTGACAGTAAAGGATTGATGCACATCGACTACCTGTTCGTCGTAACTAGAATTCCTAAGAAATATTCTTCTTTTTCAACGTTGACATTACTGTACATCCCCAGTCTGTGCAAAACATGATCAGATTCGTAGTAAAAAAGATAAGAAAGAAAACTAAACAAAATAACGACAGATTGGAGAATACATTTGACAAATTTTATTAACATTATAAGTTTTCCAAATATATAGATATGTTGAATTAAAATGATAAATAAATTAACATGATAGTAGACACCTTTACATATATATATAAATATTTTAGAGGCAACTACATCGAGATCAGATACATTCAAGTGATTTAAGCATGCCTATCCTTATAAGGAACTCATTCTATTAACTAATATAATGTATAAAAATGATACCTAAAACAATCGGAATTATTAACATGGTATTGATACGTTTTCGATGTTTTCTTGCTCTGGGTTTCTTTATAATGTCTCTTTCACAGTATGTTCAAACAAAATTCAACCTCATAAGCCTGTATGAACCACGTGAAAACGCTAATTGTGGACCCTCTTACATTTGTTCCAATGAGTATATATTCTATTTAGGTATATCACAGTTAAGCACTAAACTTGCACGTAATATAATAACAATTTAATTCGTCATGACAACACTGAACCTAGTTTCCAAACCAGGAAGTTTAAAGTCTTGTTTGTTTCGCTATGTATTACAGTTAGGTATATCACAGTTAAATATGAATTCTTTGACATACAGTCATTTCTGTCCTTATAGTGTCACTGTTTTAGTTTATCCATTTTGTTTATTTTGCTGTTTAAAAGGTGTTAGACACTTAACATTTTATCGAAGTTGTCTGAAAGTGGGAAGACCTTAGGACGACCTGGTTTGATATTAGGCAGTTTTCAACATCAATACAGAAGACTGTGAAACTACTCACAAAACCGTATAACATCACATATACATTTATAATACTTACAAGTACAAACCATACAAATCTTTGTAACAAAACGTCAAGTAACAGTGCGCTCAAAATGTATACATTGAAACTTTAAATGACAATGTTTCCATTTTAAGTTATGTGTGAAAGAGTGAAAGACTACTAATGATCTACATACACAGCGACTTGTTGTATCCGTGATGTTAGCATCGTCATTGAAAGAGTCCATTACTTTTGCTAATGGGGCGAATATACTTTTTCTGTATTATATTTGTCTTCATCGTTTATCAATAAGCCGATAATGGCATCAAAATCGTTTATATGAATGATACAGCACCTAAAATGGCCATTTGATATTGGTTGAGAGCTACAAACACTAGGTCATGAACTATATATTAACACGTTATTGAGAAAATTTCCGGTGCCAGATTCTATCTCGATTGAATCTCCTCCTATAACGAGTGATGTAATATCTGCTTTTCAATATTGGAATAAAGGAAACAAAACAACAGGAAACGATAAAGTTTAATAATTTATCAAAGCTAACACTACCCAAACAGCTAGAAATGAAATAAAAATCCTCTTAACATGAAATATGACTCTACTTCGTCTGTAATCAGAGGGCAGGTGTTTAAACATGTGTGTAATACGAGAGGAGAAAAGCAATATATTCATTTCCCCTTTAGTACACAGAAATGTATCCCCTAGGTATAATTAATTTGATTACCATAACAACTATATCATAACAGGAAGTGACCAAGGGAGCACGTGATATGACACAAAACACTTCTAAGACCACACTCCTATTGATGGTATATCAATCACAATTTTTCTTTTTACCAACAAAATGATTGAAATGGATGACAAAATCATTTCATCATGTCTGTTTTCTTGACAGGAAATAGGTTTTCATGGGTGTTGGCTTTCCCTTCATTTTCGTCTCCCCTTTGTAAGTTAGCTCGATACTAGGATCAAAACAATCCTTATCTTCTGTTAAGTATCTGGAAATCGAAAGTATAAAATACATTTAATACATGCACTATTTTTAGTATAAATTCTAGTTTACATCTACTATTCTTTTTGAGTTTTATTTCGTTTTGCTCATTAACAAATCTGGTCGAAAGTGTTCACTTCGAGTTTCGAAATTCTAAGCATTTCATATGGATTGTTTTACCTCTGTATATCAAACACCTGCTTTTAACGACCTTGTCTCTCTGTAACGTTACTCTGTTACTGAGTAGTCACGCATTATTGGGGTCAATACTACTTACTTATGAGCATACTCTGACACATTGATTCGCCCCTTTTCTCCGGTTGTTTCCGTCCTACTCGTCAGGTTGACGGTGTTTCCGAACAGACAATATCTGGGCATGCGCTTCCCGATAACCCCAGTCACCACTTCACCGGAATGGATACCAATAGTTGTCTAAAAAGGACAAACGACGTGCGTTGTAAAGACAAACTCAAGTTGTGAGCTACAGTTTACAGTGCGGGAATGTGTGTGTGTGTGTTTTTTTTTTTCTTTTCTTTTCTTTACATACTATACTCTGATATTTTGTTAAGTTGCCTTATTTAGATTTAATACTGCATAATTTGCAATGATTCACCATGTGTGCCATAACATTGTTGATTACCCGACCTTACATCGATTCATCATCCGATCGAGCTTAAAAAATATAAAGCTCAACTTTTTGTCACGTATGACAATACCAGAATTGGATTCCTTAAAAAATAGGCAATTTTCTCACGATTCAATATCAAATGGGATTTGAGGATGAAATTGATCGTTTGCTCTGATTTCAATTTGATTCACAAAGAAAAAGAAAAAAAGCAGATAAAATGAGTCAGAGTCTTGGAATTTCAACTTACAACAATCTTGTTTCCATCCGGGTCAATTAGATCCTTCGATATATCCATCATATCCAGAGCCAGGCGCGCTATGCACAGGGTATGCTCATTGCACGGTACAGGAAGCCCGCTTACTGCCATGTACTTGTCTCCTACAGTTTCCACCTAGTCAATAAATATTGTGTCCTGTATATTATGTACAGTTAATGTAAATATGTTCTAAGCTTCATTTAAATATCTATGAATACCAATAGGAAATTCGTGTAATTAAACTTCAATAATCAAAATCATTTACATAAACCGGAAATAGATGGAAACTGTTAAGAACGGCACAGTTTGAAGCCATTTTCAGGTTTGGACGCATAATGATTTCCACTTGATCTTCTTGGTCAAACGTCTGAAACCTTAGCAACCACGTATATTAAGTGGGTCATCAACGAATGCGTCTATGAATACATTCCTGATGCCTCTATATGCCATATCGACACATTATATACATAGTTATAGATATGAAAGACAGTTTATTGTAATATTGCCAACCAATCAAGTTGGTTATAATTACCTTATAAACATCCGGGTTATTTCCAAGCAAATCGTCAAATTTCGTATAGACAATATTCAAAAGTTTAACTATCAGTTCGGCTCCTTTGGCGTCAGAGTGCCTAGCACAAAACTCGTTGAAGTCTTTGATACCGCTGAACAAGATGGTGACCTTCTCAAACTTTTTAGCAGGAACTGGACGTTGATGACGGAGCTCGTGAGCTACTGACTCCGGAAGTATCGAGTACATCAACCTAAGGAATAACAATACAATTTACAATTAAAATGGACTTGTTAGGACTAATTAAGTTTGACAATGTCCAACATAATCAAATACCAATAAACAATTCTGAACTTTGGATTTCGAGAATTTAAACTATCTTCAAGACATATGACTATATCATACACTACTGAAGGCTTATCAAAGAAATACAATGGAGATTTTGGCAACGATGTTGATTAAACCAACAGGTCCATATCTCTTCCCTGTTAATTGCCGGAATTTTACTGATTAGGCAAGACTGAGGCATGGTCGTCTAAGCTCCACGGCAACACGACATAGAGTACATGTAGTAGCGAGTGATCCCATTCAAATGTGGTTTGGGAATCGCGAAAAGCGTTTGGGAGTCAATGTATCATTAGCCGAACATCAACAGGAAAGTCTAATTAGGTGCTGCGAGCATCAGCTTGCTATTAGGGTAAACCTATTCACCAATTTAGATATGTCGATATTCGATAGTCTGAAAATCAATTTGTCGTAACTGGAGTTAAATTAGTAAGTGTGACCACGGAAACATAAAGTGCATCACGGTAGTTATATGTTCCACCGAAATATTCATTTCCCAAAACGAAAGTACATGTATGTATATTATTTGTCAAGGTGCGAAGTAAAGCTTTTTATTTTTGTCATGGCAGTAGTACATCTTTAACGAGACTTAGATAATCCTCAATGAAAGTATAAGAACCAGCACGACACGGAAAACTGCTACGGAAAACGACAAAAAATGAATTTCAAAGACGCGGAAGTATGAAAAGGAGCAATCATGACATGGAAAATGAGAATAGGGTTCATGTGCACCTACAAATTGCATTGCGTAATACGTAATTGATTCGTTCATTGTAGTAATTCCAAAAACAAAAAAAAACAAAAAAGAATCAAAATTGACGTATAGCATATTTTGCATTTTAAATAAATTTGTTTTTTATGATTTAACAGTTGGGGTAGAAACAATTATTTGCTGGATTGGTTTGAAGCGGTATATATTATATAGCAGCTTGTACATAAGCCAATAAAACAGCTTGAAACCCGTCGGTAAAGACAAGGAGCACCAATTCAATTCGATTAACGAATGGAAATAAGATTAAAATCGATAGATCATTTATCATATAGAACAATTACATCTAATATGAGTTTGCATTAAAGATTGTTAAGAGCTTTGACATTCCAGAATGTTGATGAATTATCTGTTTCCTCAATCCATGGCATGAATAGATCCACTGTGGACTGAATCAGATTGATGGAAAGATATCGACAAAATATTGTCTAGCAAATATTAACAGTAACAATATGGGTCAAGTTTGATTTATTTATTGATAAATAGTATCAAAGGTTATACAGGTCAAGGTTACATCTAAAATAACATCATAGCTCAGTTTTCAATTAATATGTATGATAATTGGATTGATCTTAATCAGTTTACAGAAAAAATATTATTGAACTATTCCTGATATCTATGTTAGGTCTAGTATATATAAATATTGACAGTAACGATTAAGCCTCCGAAGAGTTAATGCCAGGGTACACATCTGCCAATACTATCAAGGATAAAATTATTGCAGTGGTGATGCTTGGAATATGTTCTTTTCTTCAGCGACGAAATATTGTCATTTATAAAACGACGAACACTTGTTTTTCAGACCATCAAATACATGATTAAAATCTCGGAGCGCAAGCAACACAAATGTCAAATGTTCGTGTTATTTCAACATTTGAAAGACAAAATACAAGAAACTACACTTTTAAAGTGATTAATTCTTATCCGAACTACGTCAACCAGTTATACGTGCAAGTTAAAAAACTTGATTGATGTGGTATATAGTGGTATCATTTGTTTTGTTTTTTATTTACAAATAAACATAAACATGCTGGTGAAAACTCCTCTAAACTCAGCCCACGAAATGCTTCCTCTGACTTTCTACAATACATTTATTTTTTTAGGTATGAGGACAGGCAGGTATCTAAGTTTGGTTTTTCAGTATATCTTGAACTCAGTAAGATCAAATATGATACTGTGTTTTCTATCAAATTTTAGTATAGACTCGTTTATCTGATAAATAGTCATACATACTGAACATTTATCAAGTTTATCTATATTCTATAGTCATATGAAAGCTTCGTTAATTTCCGTTTTTAACAGAAACAAATTTGAAAGCAGAATTGCAAAAAACAATAAGTATGTTCTATAGTTTAATTGTGATCGTCAACAAATACATCCAGTGATTGCATTATCATCCTTAGGATAAGAAAACATTCTGTACCACGACGTTCGCTGAATGCATGGCCATGTCACTGTGGAAACATTTCGTTTTTCCAACTCTGGCTCATATCTTTAGCAGTCTAAGACTGTGTTGATATAAGTCTTCTCTGTGTGTCTAAAATTCTTCCTCGACTTAAAAGACATGTACAAATGATTTACGAAATGTGTCATTAAAGTGCAAATGTGATTACAGGCTTCCATTTTTGCTTAACATTATTTCGGCCATCGAAAGATACCTTATGCAGAACTCTTGACATGCCTGTATATTTTTTTTTCTAATATTCAGTTTTTATAACACAGTACAAGGTTAAGATGTGAAAATATGTATACAGTTGTCTCGGCGAACTAAAGCGCTGTAGGCATCAGTCTGCCAAGACGCCAATACAGTTCACTAAAGCCAATCTTATCGAAGATGATGGTTCAACCCTTGTCTGATTCTCGGATCTGCAAAAATCGCATGAACGACGAGAATGATATACGATGAACCCTTACAACAACACTCCGTGACTCCTCGGAATTTTTATACAATTATATCGTGGATGTTTTGTTGATGAACGTATTATTTACGTGGTTGAAAAGACGCATGCGGGTATGCAAAATCAAACTTTTCTCAAAATATCATTACAGGAAGACGAATGTCACGAAATCATTTTCTGATTGAATTAAGACTTATATATTTCAAAGCTAAATGGGTGAAAAAAACGAACAAGAAAATTTGTTGCGGTCATAACGTTATGAAACAACAAAATAAAACCATTACAGTGATGACTTATCACTGGTATACAAAAGACCACAGGTAACGTAAACATCACACTCTCAGCATGGAATACTCATAGCAACACGCATCAACACCGGTCACTTTTCGTGACAAGACCACGGTTTAATTATAGCGGAATAACAAATAGAGACGTAATGAAATTGTTGTGTTCTTTGTTCCATCGCACACATGGGACACTCGGGCATGTTTGTGACGTGTAGGGCACTCGCTGTCTGGGTCACGCAGAAAAACATTCTCGTACTTATTGGAATTACACGTGTTGTGCATGAGAACATCATTACTACCGAGTAGTAAATCTTGGTGCATAAGATTTGAAGAATTCAATAGTTATATGTTGAAGATGAGTATATAAAACAACAATGTTATACCAACATGTCAACATAAGCACAATTCAAACTCAAGTTCAACAACAGTAGAGGAAATTATGAACGAAAGAAAGATTTACATGGAGACTCCTAAAACAGTAAAATGAGAATGATACCAGGTGTTCCGGGAGAGAAAGCGTATTTTGGTGCTTCATCTACAACACCCGCCATGTAAACCTAAGTGAATCCATGTCAGTAATGTTACGTTTTAAAAAAAGACTAGGTATTTAACAACGGAACCAACAGGCAACCTAACGAGCATCAAACACGACCAGCTTCATATCGCACAAAGAAATAGAACATTTCTCAAGGAGATCACTATGACGACCGTAAAATTTCAACGTAATTTTAGTCAACCTTTATCTTTACTTCAAATCGAAATAACTTCTGAGTTAGCATTTTTACGATTGTGCCCTATTTCGTTTCACGAATGTACAGTAAGATAACGGAAGACAAATGAGATTTTAGGGAATCCTGTCTTAACATTAACACTTTAAACAGAATGCACATGTCTTTTCCTGAAGAGTACAAATCCAATGAGGAGTCAAGCAGACCATTAGTTGAAGTCTACCCTGTAGTCGTGTGTCTAGCCGGGCCTTAACTTGGAAGTCTACTCTCTCATTATGTGAGACGGATGTATGCTTATCAATAATCATTGACACATATTTAAGGAAATATACAACATGCCAGTGATTTCTTATTCATATCAAGAAATCGAAAATAAAATTGATTGCACGTTTCTGTAGTGGCGGCGTGATGACTAGATGTGAAGTTAAAGCGTTATAACTCGTTTCGACATTGGCAACAATAACCTTGCCTTTGATATAATGATTTAGAAGCAGAGAGGGAGAGAGAGTTCGAAACGTAAATATATCACTAGGTGGTGACAGCAAACACAACAAGCACCGAGACAGTATTATTGACTAGAAATTTATGTTACAATATAATTTTGCTAAAATCGTTAATATTTATAAAGCTAATCAAGTATTAAGGGCATTCGAAGTTTGAAATAATATATGACACCTAATATCCTTCTTGGAGACATCAGCAGATGAAAGCTTACTTGATTGTTTTTTTATATTTCATCGATTGCACACAATGCTTCCATGAACATACAGTTCTCCCACAGTCGTGCTTAATCCCAACATAAAACATTGTCACAAGCCATGAATATTTATCAACAGTACCTTTCTTTCCTCCGAGTACTTGACAAAACATCAGGTAAATGTATCATAACATCAATGTTTAACATTGAAAGAACATCAGTTACCGTAGTGGAATATGTGTAAAATTTATTGTACAAATCTACTTATGAGAGAGGATTTTTTAATGTTTTCATACCTGTCAGTTTCCTTCTTTTCATGCTCAAGTTCTCTATGAGTCTGCTGCAACTGGTCGTTGAGAATCTCCAGTTTCTGAGTGAGTTTGTACCCTGCGGCAAACTGCTCTGATAGCAATACCAGATCCCTCGTAGCATCATGAAGAGGTATATCACTAATATATAGTCCTCTTCTTCCCAGATCGTCTAGATTAGCAACGCTAGGTGAACACATGAACAACAGACAGTCTGATTCTGGCACGTAGATCATTTGTCCCTTCAGACGCATGCGTGAGTTTTCATCTTTGTCCACAAAGAGTCCTCCAACTCCGATTTGCTTTACCCTTAGCACAAACACGGTGTTGATGTGAGACAAAATGTGATCAAATTCAAAATTCATATGTGGCCGGACCATGTCAAAGAGGTCGTCAATTTTTGCACCTTTCTTGGTTGTGTTGGGAATCACTCTAAGCAGAGAACTTCCAACTTGCTGGATTTCCATCTTTCGATCAAACAGGATATGAAAGGGGAACGCCCGACTAAATGTAGCGGGACTAATCTTTTTCTCATGGGAAAGATTATGTTCGAATTCGTTCAATTCGGCCTTGGTGGCCATGTCCTTTGAGGCATCGTCAACAATAACGAATTGCACATGATCACAGTCCTCGCCTTTTTCTCTGAGAATCTCTACCTGCACTTCTGCCTGATGTAGCTGCTTGGCAACTGTTTTCACTATACCTTTGACGATATGTTCTAAACCTGGTCTATCAGAATAGTAGTGTAGAACGGTTGCACCGTCACTTTCCCGCTCTGTGCACCGGAAGGACGGAGCGCGCATGCCTGGATAAATCGTAGCGAGATGGTCGTGAAGGGCGTCGAGGTTTTGAAGGAAGTCTTTTGTAGTACCGCCTAAGACTTGCAAAATTTTGTCATACCCTGATTCTTGACAGAATTCGAAGAACATCTTGCCGAACATTTCCAAAATGGTATTAGCGGGTGTGTCTGAAACCAGTTGAAACGTTGAAACGTTACATTTCAAATAGTTCAATGTCATACATGAAATAGATATAACCACAATCACAACGAAAAAAAAAAGTATTCATAGTCCACATTTCTAACGATGCCAGAAGCTTACCAATATCACATTCATATCACTGGGATTTCGTTCTCGGACGTGTTGTATGGAGATGATCCATGTTTTGGGCAAAATAAAAGTTACCTAAAACTAATGTTATTTCTCCTCAGTGATTATCAAACAAGTTATATCTTGATGTTGACACTAATTAATCTTGATAACAACCGTGACAATCTCTCATAACTGTTCAGATCGGGGAACGATTTATTCATCTTGGATATTACTCTTAAAATCGTCAGTTGCCAAAATAGGTTTAAAAACGTTGCTTTAAAAATCTACTACTCCCACTAATATGACGGGCTCCGAGAGAGATTTTCGTAATGGTGCGTCATTTATATTCTTTGAAATCCAACCGTGTGTTAAGCATGCGAACTGCATTTGGAACGTCTTTTTTAGTAGCGTGGATGAGATCATTAACCCACAATAACGGATCAGAGAAGTTAATCTAATGACTGAAACGGTTCCTGGTAATATTTTCAGTGCCTTTTCGTAAGCTTTACGGCTTCTATAAAAAAAACATCTTGTCATTGATAGATTGATTTACAAAGTAGGTTGAAAGACAAGAAAATCTTAAGGGCTTGACTGATCTGGTTTGCTGACCTTGACATTGTTTACCAAAACAGTAATGGTAGATAACATAAAATGACAAGATGGCCAAGCTTCTTCAATTTCTCATTACACATAAGTACGACCATCCGCCGACGTTAAGGAGACAGTATTTTTTACCGGAACTGCTATAATTTGCGCTCGGTAACAAAATTTCTTAAGAAGAATTTACGACAAATTAAATAAACTCAATCTCAGGCACAGATAGAAAAACGGGTGGTATTTAATGAGTAAATGGACAGTGATAAAATTTCTAATACGTTAAAATCCTGCGGTCGATTCGTGGGAGTTTCATTGCATTGGAATTTGGTTCCTTTCACACTGAGTGTTAGTATTACATGATCGAAGTCGTTTTGAACTTCCGGTACGATAAAACCGTCCACAAATGAAATTACCGCCACGCTCGAATCGCCCGTGTTAGGAAAGAAGAGATCGGGCAATATTAACCCGAGCAGTATGGTTTGTTTATCATTCCATGCAAATGGGGTCAATGTTTTAGTCTGAGACCAGGCATAGAATAGGACTGATATTGTGTTGGGTCAGCCACCATGAGATAAGGTCAATGGACCACGATTGTTATATTTGTCGCACAAATATGACTATTGACTGCTAAGACCATTGTTATCTATTCAGGAACTGTCATAGTTTACAATCTGTTTTCGTCGATTATCTCACTTAGAACTTGATTGTGACGTCATGACATGGACAATGGCTTTACATCATCACCTCCAAAATGCTGAAAATGTTCAATATCTTTAAACTTATGTCATAAACGGTATCTTCAATTTGTTTTTATTTGTCTTGATTTTTTGTCTATTTTTTGCTCTCGTTACCTTCTAAGATTCATTATCTCTTATGAAATGAAAACCTTGAACATTTTGTGTATATGTTTAATTACGACAAGACAATAAACTTTGCACACATATATATTGTTATAATTGAATTTCGCATCAAATACACGTATATGCATTTGAAATGTATACCCTGACATGAAAATCACGCGTAAACCTATTACTTAGTAGTGATGGCGTCAAAATATCGATGAGTGTTGTTCTTTCAACCATTTTTGTGTATGCTTTGCTCTATACTGTTTGTCGTCCTATCAACTACGTCATTTAAGGACGGAATAATAGTTTGTCATGGTGCTTAATTGTTAATGTTTGAATGACAATTAATTCAAAACTGAATGATTGACGATTATTGCAACTTATTGAATCATTGCTGAACTATTAAAATGAACGCAGTGCTACCGTTTTCGCGTTTGATCTTTTCACCCTGGCGACAGACTCCAAAATGATGTGACGTTATGACACTACTTTACAATTATTGCATCAAACACTGTCATTACTGAAGTGTTGTTCCGTCAATATAATTTCAATAAAACTCAAAATAAAGTCACTTTCACAGGCAACATTTAATTCAATGACTAATGGTGTTGTCTAACGCATGCCTTCCGAAGCAACCATCCTCCCTTAATATGATGGACGATTTCAATGTGCTCAAAGTAAAATAGCACGGTCAAAAAAGCATTTATTAGTTTTAAAAATTACTGAGATTCACGACCCATTAAATCATCAATATTTTATGAAGGTTAAGTGAATATAATTTTTTATGATATTTAAAGGACTTTCTGCATGGTGGCACAAAACTGTTATGTCGTTAAGTCAGATAAATTAAAGTAAACGAATATTAATTGCGTAGAGGTAGTGTCTTGATTTTGATAAATGGTTTAGCTTAATGAAAGTCACTTTACAGATATGCATTAACAGTATTGGTAAGTCTTCAATGTCAGTTTTGTTCAATTAATATGCATTGGTATTCAAACTATTCTACAATTGCGATAGTTCCGGCATTTGGTAATATTGAATTTTTTTTATATGCCATGTAAAGAACATATATTACATAATAACTGGCCATCTAATGGTTTCACTTTTTATTTCTTTCTTTCCAGTCTTTATTGAAAACAAAAATTGTCAATGAGTAAATTATTTAAAATACTATTTATGTGAAAGACACTGTAGTCCTTGTCTTTCAAGACAAGGGGTTTTTTTTTGTAAAGGTTATGATATTTCTGTCTTCTTTAGTTGAAGATTCGCTACCTGTGTCCTTCATCGAGGATGTGATGATGCTGTTTTTAATTTGTTTAAATCGGTTGTATGTCTGTCATTGCGAGTAGATGTTTAGGTTTGCTTATTCCGTCCTTTGTATATTGACATTAGACATATTTTTTGATCATGTGTTGACATTTCAAACTTTTACTCGTGTTTGTTACTTTTCTTATCAGTTTCAGTTAAAACTATTTCTGACACTGACACATCGAAAGAAGGAGAAATCAGTGACCTTCCTTGTTGAAACTATTACAGTTTCCATTACAATACACATATTTAGCATCTGTTAGGTCTTTTCTCAATGTTTCAATATTTTGTTGACTAGATATAGCGATGTACATACTTCAACAATTTACAAAGTTAGAGATGGTAAGATATATATGTCATCGTGCGTGACTTGACTCACTTAAAATGCTATACATCTGGAGGTGACACAATCTAAGTGTATCATTTATCACGTAAATTCGATGTACTGGTACGCGGGATTTACACATTCGTGACACTGGTGGCCTACATTTCTGGTTTTATTTATCAGATAACAATCTGACTGATTTCTACCATGAATCAGAAAGGCTCTACATTAGTGTATTGGAGTTACAAAAGCTCTCTAGCACTCTCTGGTAATTTGGCTCCGTAAAATCTTATATCGGTCCATTGATTGTCATGTCTACACAGGCCTGGGAAAACATTTGTCTAACAATACAGAAAATTATGGGCACTGATTGATATATACAACTTCTGCACTTCGATCCTGGATTTTGCTTTGATATCTAAAGGCAGCACGGCACACATGTCAATCAAACGCCAAAAAAAAGTATATAGACTTGGGACCTGCGTCTATATAACATGTCTAACTGAAAAAGTACTTACGGGATTATGCATCTTGAATATTAAAAGACAAGTACGTGTCTTAACGCAGCATTATCATGTAATAAGACATCTATCTTATCAGCTTTTATCAGATAATCAGTTTGCGTATTTGTCACTGGGTCGTTTGTCATTGGCTGTTCCAGTCAGAAATCGATTGTGATGTCATAGTTTAGACAATGACGTTACGTCATTAATTGAAACTGGCGCAGCAAAATGGTTGTCATCGTTTGATTTGGTTTTTCACACTTTTTCCGTAAAAAAATATTAAATTCATATTTGATATTTTTAAAGTGCATGCATAGTCTCGCTAAATTGAAAAAATATAAGACTCGTTTCATAACATATCATATGAATTGGAAACTCACTTACGATCCTAAATGAACTTTTCTCTATGAGAACTTTTCTGTAAGATATTGCGGATGTACTTTACACTGTCACTATTATGTCTTGTCACCTACCAAATGCCAAAGAAGGAAATATTGACCGTCTAAGTTTAGCGTCTTACAAAACATCACCAGACCATTGCAAGTGTCAAGAGCGAGGACGTGTCTTCTTAGCGTATACTGTGTAAATTCATCCGTAGATCATGTTAGGTTTATTGCACTAGACAACCTTGTAAATCATTATCGTACATTTACCCCAGTAACACCTGAAACGATATCTATAAATTCTTATTTTGAGAAGTTTTGATTAACCGTGTTATCATACGACCAAGTCTCTAACTGTATATCTTGTGCACATAATCTTTTGGGGGAGAGATCGGATGTGGTGAATTGACAGGAAAACAAATTATGTGGTGTTATATGGGAAATTAGTCTATCACAAGGAGTGATAGATCACATATTGCATAATAAAACGGATATTTATTATTTATACTTCTGTTATATACAATGAATTTAACATCACGTGTTACAGACAGCGGTAATGATATACCACAGTCTGTCACGAGATGCTGCAGTACATTGCAAGTGTGATGACTGTAGCATTATACATTATCACGGAATATCCCATAAAAAGTTCATATATATTGTAAACGTACCGAGAACCTTGACAGCTGCGCCGACGAGATCATAAGTGGCGCCATCATCGTACACCATCCGGACGAGAAAATGTCCGTCCATTTCCAAACCAGCTTCCTGTCTGTGGAGAAAAAGCCAAATTAGAAACAAAACTTAAATCCCAAATGTCATTTAATTATTGCACGTGTATCGTGTTATTATCTATTTGTTTTCTTGTCATTTGCAACTTGTGAAATACAGCAATAGTGTTAATATTGTAAGCAAGCAGCTAACGCTTTAGCTAGTTCAAGTGTAATTGCTTTAGAATCTCTTCCGAACTACGGACATGAGCAAGTCTATAGTAATGCTGAGTAATGAATCTTTATTACAGGTTTCCGGTACTCTACATCACCGCTTACAAATGAGAAAACACAGTCTAATGTTCACGATTGGTTCGTTTCTATAACACAATTGTAAACTCATTATCAAGATATATGCTTTAACTGCCGCCTCTGTAGCCTAGCTGTAATTTGTCAGTTATTTCCAGACCCAATAGACCATAAACTAAACACAGTAATGTAACAATTTTTCTTCTTTGGCATCAACAGAACATTCATTTCACAAAAGCATTTATTAAGGATATCCGGATGCCTTTTTGCCTTTTCATTAAAGTGTCCAAGCGCTGTTGTTTATCTCTCAGCCTGAGCTGCTAAAATTACACCAGAACAGCCTGTGTTAGAATTCTCGCCACCGTCATGTAGGCGTATATCAGCAACACCTCCTTAAAACCTAATCAACACTTCCTATATCATCACACGTGCAGCACGTGATCGCAGATCTCCCTTCTCTAAATGTTACTCTTTGAGTCATAGATAATAAACTTGAGACAAATACATGTACCTGAACAACATTTTGCAATATTATCGACATTCGATACTCATACATACATAACTGCACGTGCATGTGTAAATAATACTTTGCGATGAATATTTTTTTATTTCTTTTCACGCTACGATAACAGCAATCTCAGGGAAATCACCAACAAATAACCGCACATGCTGGTTGTATGTATATATAACTCACAACGAAGATAAAATTAATTCCGTTCTTAGACAGGACAGATACCACATACAGAGATGGCAGGAATTAGCAATACGCAAAAATACAAGTTACGAAAACTACATCATCCAGACATAATGTGAACGTAGCAGTCAGTCTGGATTTAGTTACAAACTGGAATATTTCCCACATTAGTCGCCTCAAAATGTTGTCAAAAATCCAGGTCGACAATATGACTTCATACAGATGATGCTTTAACAGAGACACGGATCATTTACTTGAGATATTTCTTACTGCTTGCTACATGGTATTGCAAATTTCTCAGTTGAAAGAATATAAGAAAACATTACGAACTTTAGATCTGCAATACATGATTATTAAAACAACTCACACGTGTTTTATGAGATCTTCAAACCACAAAAACATTCCTGCAAGAGTATGAAAACAACCAGAAAAAAATTTGAAATACTTCGATTTTTTTTCTGACATTTGAACGTTCTGTCTGTATAGAATCAAGAAGTGAATTTCTTGGTTTAAATGTTTTCTTATTTTTTAACATAACACGTTATTTTGATCCGTTTGATTTCTCAGCAGTTATTTCATTTCAGTCTAAAATATAGTTAATCATTTGATTAAAACGATTTCGTGTGTATCGATTCATTCTTGAGAGAAATATTCCCCAGTCAAATCGAAACGCCAACCTTATAACGATATTAGGGACTGAGAGACATTACAGTCAAGAGTTACCGACGAAACAAACAGTCTTTCTCTTCATGATCAGAATGTAAATATGGAAAACATATTTAAATCAAGAAGTTAAATTGAGATAATGGCACCACAGTATCGTTAACACCGTTTTACATTACAAATATCATCTATCAGACTTACTTTATTGACATTTTTGTAACCTTCAAGCTGTGGCATTGACCTTTTGCCTAACGGTGAAAATATTGCGCACATCACTTTATGGCAAAGTGTAAACAAATTACCACCATTTGACCTTGCTATTTCTTCAAGATTGTCAAAGGGCATTTTTCATTCTAATGTTGACTATAAAACAGACTGTGTATAATGACAAAATTCATGAAACAAAATTTGGTTTCGAATCACGATACATATCACGAACGACTCTTTATCGCTGTATCAAAGTGCCTGATATATCATATGTCATATTAGCGGATCTATTTATATTTCCCTTACAAGACATCAGCAATTCATTGCTTACATCCGGACAGCAATTTCCTAAGTTAAATCATATCCAAACAATACTGAAGTTTGCTCCATGGCTATCAGGATTATTTCCAAAAGAAAACCTTGATAAAGCGGTTGTTTCTGAATTTCGGAAAAAAATAACTGCAATTGTACGAATCCTACAATATTTATTGTTTTTATTCAATTATCGTTTCTACCGGCATTTCAATTTTCACTTGTCAGATTTTGAATACTAACCACTCTCCTTATATATACCAGACCATCGTCGCTGGATCATTACAGTCGCGAAACAGCAAACCCAAAAAGCGCACGGTCAATTTTTGCTTTTCCTTCAATTTTCGACCCATGTACATTTTCATTTAATTCTTTCATAGTGAAAAAAACATAGTTGATGTCACTGCCCTTCTTGGCTAGATACAGGTATAACATTTATTGACAGGGAATTTGTTTGTTGTCTGTTTCACAGTGTATAGAAATATATCCGAAGTTGAAAATCTACCGTCGTATCTTATCTCTCCTGTACACGTTGGAGAAGCAAATTGACTGTTAAATCCCCCAGGTGTGATTTACAGATACCGTAGAGTGGATGAGAGAAGTCTCACAACATATCACCAAGGATGGATCTGCCAAAGCCTCCTGTCACTCGTAATACGATAATAAGAAAGAAAATATATCATGTGTCAGTATTTATCAGGGAAAACAAATTATTCAGATGTTAGTATAACAACGCCTTCTTACAACAACCAAAAGGTCTTGTTTCATTTCATTGTCTGATTCAGTGTTGTTTACATGAAAATACTCATCAACGGTCAATGTGTTATTGTTGTGAGTTAAACATATGGAATAAATTATGATATGGAATGACATAACGAAAATAAATAAGAAAAAAAAACTAATAAGAAATATCTGTGTTCTTTCATTTTGAACAAAGGTATCGCATTGCTGCGGTAAATGAGAGCCTGTTCATTGTCATGTGCTATCAAAACTGCACCAGATAATGCATTTCGGTGTTTGTTATCCTAAGTAATTTTTTACTATTATCAAAAAGTTTGCAGATGAATATTTGTGGTGGAGAAACACGGAAAACGCGCCAATTGGCATTTAGATACGTTCAAGAGAGTTGACCAAAGAGACGGAATGTGTTATTGGCAGATATATCTTCTGTGACAAATATGTCTGCTCTGTAACAATGATGCTGGAGTTGATAGATAATTGGGAAGAAGACAATGAGTTATAACAATAGACCGACGAGATAGGAGGTTAGCATTTGCTATTTTTTGTCATTATCGGTAAGAAAACCAGTGATCGGAAATAAATCTGTGAATATTTCACGTTAGTGCCATGGAGCATTACGCTTATACGTTTATGAAAAATTGAAACCCAACAAAAAATAACATTAAATAGATTGTCAGTTTCTCATGGCATTTTCATCGTGATTGCTATATTTTTGTGGAGTCTGATGTTCTCACTTGTATTTTGTACAGTAATTTAGATTTTGATGTATGTAGTACGTTACTCATAGACTCTCTGTCGCTCGATGTACAACAATCACGAAAACCAAGTACGAGAACTTCATATCTATATCATCGGAACCGACAAATGAAGAAATAATTTAGATATAACATTTTTAATTATCAGAAAAAGTTATATATAATCTCGGCTTTATCTCGGCTGCATCTAGTAACACGTAAGGGTGTGTTTCTGTGGTTTTCACGCCCAACATTTTCACCGAGTTTGAATTACGAGTTGAGACCGGTTGCCCCATAAACTATATCACCTTCCAGTAAATTAAATTGCTACCGCAATACAGCAAGTGTAATGCGGTAGCGCATTTTTTTTTTCATTTGATTAATGAGCACACTGATCACTTAATTGTTTCTTTTCGTGTACTATATAAAACAGCAAAACAATTTAGAATGAAAGTTGTAACTGCGTTCCGGAAATAGAACACAAAATGCTAATTATATCATATTGCATGACTGGATGCACTATACAGGCAATGTACGTGTTAATCTATAAAAGTAGCCAGCATTTTATTTCGATAAATTTGACAGCCAGTATACCTGTACAACTGAACGCTTTCAAGTAACGATAAATCACGGTAATTTAAACCTGTTGGACTATATCTAATTCACATATTAGCATAAATAAAACTTAATGAAGACCAATCGGTCGCGGCGTTTAATGATTAAGTGTTGTATTCACGGCTGTTGCGTATTTCCCTGACATATTTGATAGATTTATCATTGAATTTTCTCTCCCCGGGAATATATACGAGGGAAATGAATGAAATATGCGATAAAACACCAATCGCATGTGTGTGTCGTATTGCCCTCGCCTTCTACGATCGTTCCCATTCCTCTGGTAATTGTACTCTACACTACAGCTTTCTTTCTAGACAGGAATTTCATTTTTAAAGAAAATAATACTGTATGTGCACATTTTCCGATTTTGCATATTAGAAATACATACAGGTTACAGTATTTTATGACTGTGTTGTAGAATGTCTATTGATAAAACCGTTGGTTTAGTGGCTTACCCCTGACATTTCGTTTTTTCGCTTTGTTGCCCGAGAAAAGACGCCGAGCGAAAAAACGACATAACGTCAGCACGAAAACCCGCCAAAAAAAAAAAAAAAAAAAAGAAAAGACGCCAAACCGAGGTAAAAAAAAAAAAAGCAAAAACAAAAAGGCAATAACGACTTTTTTTTTTACCTCGATTTGGCTTCGTTTATTCTTATCTCTTTGACTGGTTTCCCTATTTTCATTTTCGCTTTGACGGGTTATCATTTTTTTCGTTTTATCGCTTTGGCGGGTTTTCGTTTTTTCGCCTGGCGTCTTTTCGAGGGCATCATAACAAAAAGACGAAATG